TGTTGTTTGCAGACCGGTGGCGTCGCTGCGTTTCCATAGGAGCTAAGCCTTTTTCTTTCTTTACTTTTTCCTCAGGTAAGTTCGCTCTTCGCAAATTTTACAAAAAAAAATGCACCATCTGGGGGCAACGCTGCACAAAGTCGTAGCGCGATAGGTTAAGAAACCAAATTTTCCGGTCGATTTAAAGAGCCTGGCGTCTCCTTCTTTCACCCTGTAGTTTCCAACCTTAGCTCCTTCGTGACGGCCAGCGACGGCCAAGAGGCACCTGCAAGACTCCACCAGGAATCTGAAGGTGGCAGGAGAGACGCGAAAGGCTTGCTTGAATCGGATCTCCCCCAAATGGGGCAAGGTGTCTTGGAACCACCGTTCGTTCCTCTGGAAAGTCCACCGTTCTGGACTGATCACGGGTAGGCTGTCGGTCATGAGAGTGGCTATGGTGAAGGCGTTGGCCTGCAGCTGGCTGATCGATGTCATTCTAAATTCTTGCCTGTGCGTCGGCATCCAGCTCTAGCTGCCTCTTATTTGAAAGGCGTTGGGCTCTCACCGAGAAAAGTGCCACCACCACGCTCTTCCACTGTCCAACATCGCAGATATCGCTCTCCAGCTCGTCCTCCTCGCACTCCATGATGTTTTGTTGTGGCGAATGGCAAGTGGCTGAGTGGTTTCGCGCACACCAGCTAGGAGCACGCGGAGCGAAAGCTCGCGCTGCAGAACCAAGGTGTCTTGGTTTCAACCTCCACCCCTGCCCGTTTCGATCCGGATGTCAAGATTTTGGATTTTCCAGGCTATTAATGGCTGACCATACCATAGTCATCAAATTGGACTTAAATTTGGATTAAAGCTCGTGACTTAGAGCAACAATGCGTGGTAATGTGTTTTAATAAGACCACGAAGTTATTTATGAAACTATGCGTATGTACTTTAATATTTTGCGTGCCAACTACTTTACACATCGTCCTTGCTCTCATTTTGGAGTGACACTAAGATTTCCCGTGTGGGACCAACACGCTTGGAGTGTGTTTCGGCGGGTTGAAGTGCACTCGCTTGAAGTGCACTAAACTATCCCGTCTGACAGGGGCATTAGTCTTCGCCAATCCACGGACCTTGTGTTTCTCCTCATCTCCATATAACTCATTGTTTTCCTTTCATTTTTTGGTCACGCGATTGTTCTGTAGAGCTTCACAGCGCAGCAAATTTAGCAAGTTAGACTGGAATCCCTCTTAGCACTGTCTCCATAAATCATTGAAAAAACGCTGGAGCTACTGAAATATTGAAGGCATCCTCTTGACCCTAAAGAGTCTCTTTGCTGGCTTGATGCTTAACGGGTTCAGTTGTTGATAGGCCTGAGCAAGATCCAGAGTTGAAAACACCGATGCGCCCTGGAAATTTGAAATCATAGGCCCCAGGTGCACCACTGTCCTTGCTTCTTTATTGACCGCGCTACGCTAATCACCACAGAGTTTGATAAAGCTATCTCTGTTCCGTACGACTACGACCGGCGTGGCCCACTCTGAGTATTGAGTTGGCTCGAGGATGCCTTGATTTTAGAGCATCTGAATTTCGGCCTCCACTGCTGTCCGCATCGCGAACGGCATTGGTCGTGCCTTGAGAAAATGTGGCTTGGCATCTTCTTCCAACTGCAGGTGCTAAGGTGGGTTATTGTGTCCGGTGATTTTGTTGTCGAAGACTCTGTCGTGTGTGTTTAGAACGGTTGCAACGTTGACGTGGGTGTCCACGTGATGTATTTGCTCACTCGGATCCTTAGTGCGTTGAACCAGTTCCTTCCTTGTAGGTTGCAGGCCCTTTCTCCCGTCACAAGAAGAGGTTGTACGTAGTCTTTGGACGAGTGTCGTGCCTGGACATCCGCTGTACCGAGCACCTCCACTCCTTCGCCTGACCGGGTGTGTAGGGTCACATCTTTTTGGTCAAGCCTCGGAGGGTGTTTTGGTCACATCTGACAATGTGTAACCTCGCTGATGGTAGTACAGGACGCTCCCGAGTACACCTCAAGATCCATGATTCGATTTTCAATCTCAAGCTTGATCATGAACTTGGGCGATGTGCTTGATGCTCGCAGAGCATTAAGCTTGTATAGATGTGCTTAAGTTCCAGGGGTATCATCCTCGGTTTCAGATGCATGATATTCTTTTTTTCGATCATAAGTGAGGAGTGCGGGTATTTCTTGATTCCTTTTTTTCCGAAAGCTAGCCTTTTCAATGTGGTCCGTTTTGTGACAGAAATTACATCGTGCGTTGCGGAATCTGCTGGAAGCGGCTGAATGATGTTCCTGACATATGTAACATCTGGTCGATTCGAATGTTCTCCTTTCCTTAATCTCTTTTCTACAGCGGAGTTATCAAGGGCTAGTTTCCCCAGTATCCTGTACACGGTAAAACAAATGTCGACACAAAACTCCGGACAGCTACTGCCATCTATGAGCGACGGCGGCAGCCAGACAACCGGCATGCCGGTTGTCTAGTTTTTACCTTTTTCTCCTAGAGAAATTCCACTTAGAGAAATTCAGATTTTCCACTGATGAAAACCGGAATGGAAAGGCAGACTTTTTCTAGGCGTCGTCCTAGAAGTCGTCCTTGAGGTCATCCTAGATATCGTCCTTGAGGTCGTCCTAGACGTCGTCCTTGAGGTCGTTCTTGAGGTCGTCCTCGAGGGCGTCCTAGAAGTTGTCCTTGATGTTGTCCTAGACGTTGTCCTCGAGGTCGTCCTGAGGTCGTCCTAGACGTCGCCCCTGAGGACGTTTTAAGCGTCATCCTTGAGATCGTCCTAGACGTCGCCCTTTAAGCATCGTCTTCAAGGCGTCGTCCTTGAGGTCGCCCTAGAAGTCGTCCCTTAGGCGTCGTCCTAGACTTCGTAATGTCAGCTTCGCTGGTCCTCCTTCACTTGAAGGGGCTCTACATTTTTTATAGTGTTGTGCTATTTTTTCGAACTTTGTGCATTTCGGAAATGTCTGCTTTAAGATCATTTCGATGTGCTGCGCTTTCTGTCCACAGCGGCATGCCATGCGCCTTCTGAAAAGTTAGTTTACTTGTGCGAACAGTCGCTGTTGTAAATGTTTGTTGCGCAGGCCGCACGCAAAATGATCTCTCAACATTACCTCGAGAGGCAGCAACGTTTGGTTCAGTTCTGGCTGTCATGCAGGAGATTGTCATTCGCCTGCGGAACCTTTGTGCTGGTGCTAGCTGTGACCGCCGCTGGGCGTGCCGTCAGAACTCCGAAATTGCAGTTGACAGCGAGCTTCTTTGAAGCTGCGACGTTGCTCGATATCGACTCCCCCGCCAGCTGGTCCCTTCGTTGAAATTTCGTTTCCTCGAAAAGCTCCGAAGACCGCGGGTCGTAGTGTTTCTTCAGTGTCGTCATGACCTCGTCGAAACTGACCTCACCAGGAGACTTTGGTGCCGCGAGCGCTCGTGCAACATCATGTTTTTGCTCCGCAAAGGCTCAGCAGTAAAGCCCTCTTTGTAGGCTCCAGCACTCCGTTTGCTTTGCAGTAGAATTCAAGTCGCTCTGCCCAAGACGGCCACGCTGTAACATAAAATTCTTTAAGCTTTATGCTTGCCCTGGGTCGCCATCGTTCAGTCGCCCTTGTGGTGTCCATTCACTGACCTCCTCGCCTAAAGTGTGATGTATCGCGAGTGAGAACCCAGTTGCAGCCGTTAGTCGCTCGACTCGTTTGTTTTAATCATGGCTCCCTGCTTACCGAGACGCGTGCTGTTCCTAACCGCGCTCTCACCACGTGGTGACCGCGCGCATCCCAACATGTCCCGCCATCTGCTAGCATTAGGAGATACGTCACACCCGGCATATTTTTTTAAAAAATCCATCTGAAATTGAATTTTGATTTGTTAACAACAATTAACTGCCAAAATAATGCGTACTCAAATTACTAAAGCTACATTGTTGCTTCTTTTTAGGAGACGCGGCATGTAGGTACCCACATGTCTGTTACCAAAACCGACCACGTACCGAAACATCCGCACCGAATCGTCCGGTACAAAAATGCCCGGTAGCAATAACACCCGGTTTCCCAAGGGAAGTTCTTGATGAGCGAACATTTCTAGAGCGCAGCTCTTAGGCGCCCGGTTCAGGCTTGAGCGGAGTCGGCGGCGCCGTCGGCGTCGGCGTCGGCGTAACTGCGCGGTGCATTATGGGACGCGTGGCGTCACTGATGACGTAATCAGTGACGTCCCTGATGACGTCATCGGCATTGTCATCGTCACTGATGACGTCATCGGCATCCGCATCGGCATCGTCACTGATGACGTCATAAGTGACATCACTGATGACGTCATCGGCATCCGCATCGTCATCGTCATCCTCACTGATGACGTCGTGAGTGACGTGATTGATGACGTCATCGGCATCGGAATCGTCACTGATGACGTCACTAGTGATGATGACGTCATCAGTGACGTCATTGTTGACGTCACTGATTACGTCATCATCATTGTCACGTGACCTCATAGGGGTCACGTGACCCCGGTGACGTCACGTGACCCCCTGAGGTGACGTGAACCTCGTGAGGTAACGGCGACGTCGCTCGGAGGGAGGAGTACCAGACAGGATGAGGAGGTGAGGAGGAGGGAGGAAGGATATACCTTCCCTTCAGTACACTTCCCCCCCCCTCCTCAAGAGGTGCGCTCTAATTCGGCGTTACAGGGAGTTGTAAACGGCTTTCACTATTTTTTTCTTTTTTTAGAAACGGAGTTTGTTGGTATTTAGACGGTTTAACCCTTGGAGATGTTCGTCGGTGCTTTTCAGTTAAAGCGGAGAAGTCTACGACCTAGTTTTACTACGGCGTCCTCAAGTGCTTGAGAAAATTAAGAAAGGACCGATGTGTGGTTGTCAGCATTCCTTCCGGGGAAAATGTAAACGAAGTTACCCCTTCTAAGCGTCCAAAAGAGACAAAGATCTCTAGCCACTTTCCAATCACAATATCTAGCTTTTATTTTTTTTACTTTGTAGAGTTAGCGATTACCACTCACCGTAGTATTTGTTCAGGCTTTTCTCGTCGGTAACAGCATCGGGGAAGCCCGTGAAGATGTCCATGTTGTCAAGCTTACGCAGCGCACTTTTCCGGGAATCGGCGTCCATCCAGGCGGCCTTTTCCAAACGGCTTCTGAGCGCCCGTCTGAGATCGGATATTGTCAATTTGGCTTTTGCGACAGTGTCAGTCCAAGTCTCTGAAAAATATTAACAGGCTGATTTGATGATGTCTCCCGCAGAGGAGACGAAACGTCTATTTATAAATTGTTGATACTGTTATATAAGTCGGAGGTATTTTGATTTCTAATCATAAATCCCCGGTTTTTGGAACATTTTTGCATTTATTAAAAGTAAGTAAGACGAAACAATAAATAGGCAATTAGAGGACTGCACAATGTGCGTATTACGTGGAGCCCAACGCTCTATTGTAACCCGCAAAATGTACGAGATATTTTACGTGCCTAGCTTTTAGAGGGACCTAGAGAAACAAGCAGCATCTTTACTTGGGTCAAGGTGATTTTCGAAGGTCCTGTTCATTTCACACCAGCCGAACTACAAAATGCCCGCAGTCTTCTCAAGTGGTCTAGCTATTGAGTCAAGCATGTGTGACCAGTGGAGCTGGTTGAGCTTTTGCTCACACACCCCTGACTCAAGCCGTGCGCGAATATGGACTTCTCCAGTCTCCTCTAGCACTGATTAGGAATCATTATTATTCAGCAACCAGAATATTCACAGTGAATTGCTTTTTTCAGCATTTTCGCTTTTTAGGTGGCAAGGATTAAACATAAGTTATTAAATTGAAGCTGACACAATATCATGACTCCTAAAGAGTTTTGCCAAGTTTCTTGGGGTTTGAACAATGAGAAAAAATGCAGTTAGCGAGGATCGCGCACTTATTTTTCTATCCGATCAATTATTTGGGAGTTCAGTTGCGTAGCACCAACAAGGCCCCAGTACAAAATTCGAGGCTCCCACCTCTCCACCGAAAATCCTAAAGGCACGAGCTTTTCTAACAAAACATAAAAAATGCCAAAATCAAAAAATATAAATGAGTTTTTTTTTTTTTTTTTTTTGTACCAGCATAGATGTTTTTCGAAAGTCACATGCCGGTAGATAGAAGATCAGATCCACAACACGATGGCGTAACAACCGACACCGCAGAACATGCAAATAGCGCTTGCGGAAGAGCTATGACTTGTGCTCCCACCGCACGAGGATTCGTGCACCCGAGGCACAAGCAAACGCTATTGTACGGAATGGTGTTCCAAAGAACGAGATTCCGGTAATAATTAAAGGCCAGCATATTGGTGAGTGGGTACGAATACACGAAATGATAAAGCATCGAGGACGGAAACGAAAAGGGGACTTTTTTTCATGGATGAAATAGGATAAAAGATGTCCTGTTTCCGTACCGTTCCTCGATGTTATATCCTTTCATGTATTCGCAGCGGGATTCCCGGAACGCTTTCGCTCGAGAAGGAAAGGAGGAGCGCCACCGTTCCGTCTTAAGTCGTTCAAACGGCAGGAGGAACGGCGCTTTTTTTTATAATGCGTAACAATTTATTGTTTTGGTGCACGCAGCCGTCTGCGATGCCTAAAGGGGGCGCGTCGCTTCACTTTGGCAGCCGGTGGGCAGCGCCACCCATCACCGCGTCCGCTTCACCGTCGCATAGTGAAGCGTTGCCCACTCGTACGTCCGCAGCGTCATGGTCCCATCTGGGCCTTCCCGCTGCAGCGTTTCTCGATATCGCTCTCTAGTAAAAGTTTGGCACCTTCACAATTCGCAATCTAATCGCGTCCATCCTTCTCTGTTTGGGTTTGCACGTCATTTGACCCAGGCGAGTTGGTCGGAGCTCAAATTCAATCATGTCCTCCCAAGTTGTAAGCGGCGACTAGGGTAACATGCCGCTATTCTTTTTGTTTGCCTGCGCTGTGAAATGCCACTGGAAAGCGCCTGTGTGTTTCACAGTCCGGAAATCACTGCGGGATGTCATTCACCAGTGCCAGTGATTTGATCAAAATCAACGCGAGAAGAAATGTTTCGGAGCTCTCATTACCAGATTGCTCTGCGCTCGCTGGTGGATTGAGTAGACGTACAGGGATTGAGATGATCACCGCGGTTGTCTCAACGCATGGAGGAAATCCATTTTCTCGGTTTTCAGGTATTGTGTAAAGAAGGTTAGTGACGACTGTGAACCCAAACCTTGCGTATGCCAGCTTACCTTTGCTCAGGTAAGCTGACATTAGCCAGAAACCAATGTTGGCTTTTAAATAAAATGTCTACACAAGTCCTGCCACGCTCGATGCAAAATGCTTCTTGTGCTAAGAGCCGGACGGGGGGCGCGAGTGTCTATTCGGATGCTTCCAATAGGACAAGAGGCTAACGTAAAGTGGCTCAACAATTTTAGTTGTAGATCATGAATAAAGTTGTTTGCTTCATAAGTGTTATGTAGTAATGCCTCGTTAACATTGTTACTTTCGTTCCCACCACAAAATGTCCCGTGTGTGAGTTGTCCATAATTACGGAACAAACATGCAAGTATTTACCCTGTTTGTACCGAAACTATTCTGTGTATAGCGGGCTGTTCACATTAATGGGCTCCGCATTAACCAAAGGTAACTTCATAATATTTCATTTGTCTTCATGCAACACAATAGCACCTTATAGTATATTAACTTCTGAGTTGAGTTATTTTTAATTTCACAGTAACCTTCACCGTCCTCTACACTTTCCAATACAAAACTCGCTATGAAATTTTATTTGCAGAGAGGCAAGTTATCTTATTAATAGAAAAGTTCCACTTTGTGCACAAAAAGCGAGTTTCACGGCATTAAATTTGCACGCATTTTTTTAATCTCCGCCATGTTTGAACCAAACTAATCGAGCCGATTTTTTTTTTTGTTAAACCAAAGTACAATCACCGCGACAGCGGCGACACGTGACGGCGAAGTAGTCGGGCGTCAGCGTCGCGTTTGACAGACAACGCTTTTGCTCACGCACTACGGTGCGAAAACAAGACCATTTTAAACAAAATAGACATCTGACCATTTCGTTCCGAACGCGTTTTTTTTTTTCTTTCTTTGTTTTGTTTTGTTCCGGAGCGCGAACATGCGCGTCTACCAGCCCGAGCTCTTTCTACCGACAGTGCTACAACGGAAATTCGTTATCGCATATATATATATCGGTGATTTCATCTCAAATCGGGCAAGCTAAAAGGGTCTAATTTTTCATTTTTACGAAGAAAATATATGTTTTGGGGGCATTTTTCAGATGAAGTACGGCGCAAACCGCATGTTTCCCATATTTTTTGTTCTTCAGTTACGAAGCGTAGAAGCCGCAGTGGCAGAAACTAGTGTTTTTGCCTGCCGTCGGAGGTCGCGTGTTTCACACCCTCTGCTGGCGCTAGTGTTTTTTTCTACACACTTTTAACTTTTCCCCCTAATTTAATAGGTATCTTAAAAATACCTTGATGTATCCAAATATTTTTAGGAATTTGATTGTTTTTTAAAACACATGTCAAACTCGTCACTCCGGTCGCTTTTTGGTGAAATTTGACAGGTCATTACTTTGTCTGTTCTCAAGGTAAATTTTCTCTCTTTGGCTCTACGGAAAGCCCAAAGCAAGCCCATTATAAATATAATAATATCATTATAATCTGTCGACTAGCCGCTACGCTACCTTCACGTAAACGTTGTAAGAAATAACAAATGTTGAAAGTTTGAGGTCGATTTTTTCAAAAACCATATTTTTGTAAATTTTCATTTTTTAAATTGTTTTAGAAATATGGGTCGACTACACGAAAAAACAGTCTAGAAATGTAATATTTTGGTTGTATGTCCTCTATTTGAGCCGCAATCGCGTGAAATGTGTGAACATTTGTTATTTTTCACAACGTTTACGTGAAGGTGGCGGAGCGGCTACTCGGGAGATAATAATGATAGTATCATATCTATACTTGGCTTGCTTGGGGCTTTCTGTAGAGTCAAAGAAAGAAAATTTACCTTAAGTACAGACAAAGTAATGACCTGTCAAATTAGACCGAAAAGCGACGGGAGTGACGAGTTTGACATTTGTTTTTAGAAAACAATCAAGTTCCTAAAACTATTTGAATACATCAAGGTATTTTTATAGTACCTATTAAATGAGGGGTAAAAGATAAAAGGGTGTAAAGGAAACAATAGCGCCAGCAGAGGGTGTAGAACACGCTACCTCCGACGGCAGGCAAAAACACTAGTTTCTGCCACTGCGGCTTCTACGCTTCGTAACTGAAGAACAAAAATCTGGGGAACGTCAGGTTTGCGCCCTCCTTCATTTGAGGATTGCCCCCAAAACATATATTTTTTTCGTGAAAATTAAATATCAGACTTTTTTAGACTGCCCTATTTGAGGTAAAACCCCCCCCCATATCGGGCAGGTTGAAAGGGTCCAGTTCTTAATTTTCACAAAAAAATATATGTTTTAGGGACTTTTCTCAAATGAATGAAAGCGCAAACCGCATGTTCCCCAGATTTTTTGTTCTCGAGTTACGAAGCGTAGAATCCGCAGTGGCAGAAACTAGTGTTTTTGCCTCCCGTCGTAGTTCGCGTGTCTGACACCCTCTGCTGGTGCTAGTGTTTTGTCTACACCATTTTAACTTTTCCTCCTCGTTTAATAGGTACTATAAAATACCTTCACGTGTTCAAATATCTCTAATAGTTTGATTGTTTTCTAAAGAAAATGTCAAACTCGTCACTCAAGTCGATTTTTTGTCAACATTGACAGGTCATTACTTTGTCTGTGCTTAAGGTAAATTTTATTTCTTGGGCTCTATAGAAAGCCCTAAGCATGCCTAGTATAGATATAGTAATATCGTATTGAGCTGCGGAGTAGCCGCTCCGCTACCTTCACGTAAACGTTGTGAAAAATAACTAATGTTCACACATTTCGCGCGATTACGGCTCAAATAGAGGACATACAACCAAAATATTACATTTATAGATTGTTTCTTCTTGTAGTAAACAAAAATGTCTAAACGAATTTAAAAAATAAAAATTTACAAAAATGGGGTTTTTGAGAAAATCGACCTCAAACTTTCAACATTTGTTATTTCTTACAACGTTTACGTGAAGGTAGCGG